CTTTCCCTAATTTTAGCACATTACTGATGTCAGCACAAAGAGAAAAACCCACTTCTGACAGACAATACAAAAAGCATTTTTCACATCTGTGAAGGAAAGTCCTGTTCTGGAAATCAGTGACCAACAGCATTAAAGAGTATTTAAAATTTTCCATCCACATTTTTATTTCCAACTGCTTCAAGGTAGCCTTCAGAAATCACCACAGAAGCTTTATTAGTTCTCTCACTACAGTAAAAAAGTCTTCTGACAAGTGTAGAAGAGTATATAGTTAAGGAGATGGGAAGCAGAATTTAAAAGCCTCTTGATATTGAATGGATCTTCCAGGCAGTCAGGTGGCTTGAATCAATCAATCCCAACTGTAGAAATGCTCGGTCCATACTGAATGAAACTGAATTGCACAGATATTCACACCTTTTGATTTCATACTTGACAAAGCAGCACAGATCCTTCCTCAAAAGCCTTATGTCAAGAACTGCCAATGCTTTACTTAATATGAGCCTTAAATAGTATTTTGAAATGAATTTGCTTACAAACACAGAACCCTTATGCTTTTCAGACTTGTTACCCTGGGTAACTAAAATTGTTTTCACACATACTGTTTTCAAAATGCAAAGAAGAAACACAAATAACCAGTAATAGTTATTCTAAGGCACGAATGGAGCTCAGCACCACTCTTCAAGGCATAACATTTCAGAGAGAAGTTTTTAATTACCCAGTAGTGCTAAGTCACAGCTATCATGCGTAGGACATGTGCTGATGCTGGGCATGACAACATTATTTCATCCTATCTCAATCGGACAAAAAAATCACTGTAGTTGTGCAATCTTATGACAAGCATATGCCTAGACTAATAGCACTCACTCAACTACTACTCAGTTCCTGTTAGAGGATTGTAACTTGTTATTTATGAGCATTAATGGCATCTAGACAGTATTTAAATCTCTCTCAGGAAGTGTTAAAAATGCTAAGAATGTTACTGTAGTAGCAGACCATATTTAGTAAATGAACTCTGAAATATTCTGCTGCATTAGCTAAGCATTCCACCATATTTATAATACTTAAACAATTCTGGTTTTGTAGAAAATCATCACCATCTAGAGAACAGATAGCAACAGGAGAACAAAGAGCTCGCATTCTATTGAGGATCCTTCAGGAAGTCCAAAGTTTGAATGTTAACATAGTCAGTTAACACCTTGTTATGAATATGTTCTTTAAAAGTGAAAAGCAGAGCATTAGTGACAGTGTCAAGTTCCTTAATGCCTTTCTTTGTGCTAAGAAGTTATGTATGCCAAAAAAATCGTGTAAATTGCAAGGTACACATTATATACAAATCAATGAAAATACAGCCTAATTCACATTTAAGAAGTATCTGCTTTTGTTCCTCAAACAGTCACAATGCAACATATTTCATTCAGAACAATTTTATTTGGATTATAGCAATTAGTATCACTGATCAGTAGGCCAAATCCAGGCAGAGAGCACAGAATCAATTTCACAAGGCAACAACACGGACTAGTATTTGAGTATACAAACCATTTCACTTCATTATCAAGTAGAAATATCTTCCAAACATGCATAAAAAGTCTATGCTTAATCTTTCAGAGCTCCAGATAATACCAGATTCCTAAATATACAAAAAATACATTTAACTTATAATAATCTTAGCGAATTAGACTTAGAAAATTACAATTTGTCTTCACAACATAGAAAAAAATACAAAAATGACTGTGTATAGTTTTCACCCAAATTTCACTGACATAAATATACACCAAAATGTATCATTTGATGTATACTCATGAAATTCTTAAGCTTAAAGATAGGTTTTTAAATGACACTGCAGATTGGTCCACACAAATGCCAGCCTTTCTACTGATAAATTAAAAACAACCCAAACCAACAAACCCAACAACTTTGATAGAAACATCACATTGTGAAAAATTACAATTTACCTGCACTGTAATCTGCATCTTACTGTGATTTACAATATGAAAATTTTTACAATTCCAGTTGTAAACGATACACTGGTAAGAACCTTGGCCTTTTACAGAGTAATGACTAACTCAGACAAAGCTGGCATGGTAAGACATAAAAGTATTTCAGTTTTGGTTCAGTTGACAATAACATAAAAGGCTACCGAAGCAGAAGACATGTCCGCTGCTGAAGTTGGTGATGCTGATAGAAAACACGTAGGCCAAATAATCAGCTTGTGGGGAAAAACCCCCAAACCAACCAACCTCGAGATTTGTGACAGAGTACTAATCAAAGCATCTATTATAACGTTCACATAGCCACATTACAACCCCAGTGACAGATGAGGGGAAATTTGTTCCTATTTTACGAGGCAGAAACAACCCACACGTGTGACCAAACTCAGTAACACTGCAAAACCCCAACACTCTTAGGACGTTGCACTATGGTTCTTACTCAAGATCACCTTCCAGTCATTTCCATGGAAGCTAAACTTGAAAAAGCACCACAAGCCGAAGTGCTGGAATTCTGCTACGTACTAATTGCATGTTCATACTTTGGAGTATAATTTTTAAATCAACTTTGCTGACAAGATTTCTTACTATCTATTGCCTTTTTTTAAAAGGAAAAGTAACTGTTTTCTTTTTGAAGACTGTAGTTTAGTTGCATTTGTGTGGTAAAATAATATTTTCAATTAAAGTAAATATTCCATAATAAGGCTTAATCACTACAGAAGTTGGTTGTACAAGCCTTCACCCTAATGGCAGCGCTCTCTGCTTTTCTGCAGTGCCAATGCTATCTAATATAGGTCTGTACTGTCTCTCTCATCAACAGAGCTATGAGTTTGTTTCAAATAGGAATATTACATTTTTTTTCCTCCAAATTGGACCAACAAATTTGGAACCTAATCCTTTATTTGGTCACAGAAATCAAATCAAGAAAAGTTCAGGAGCTGAGCATAGATGGCATCCAGTAACCTGAGTACATCAGGAAATCAGATCTTTGAGATGACGTCCTTCAGAAATTCTGACACTAAGTCCTTTCATAGCAAGTACAGTAAAAGGAGATGTTTTGTTCAGAGGTGGAAGTTTACGCTTTTGAACAATGAGTTCAGTATAATGCAACATTTCTCAGATCACTGCAGCAAAGCACCACAAAACCTCATGAAGAAATGAATTGAAATTGTTGCATCTTTGAATGCCAAACCACTCTGAGGTTGCATGTGGCCATGGCATTTTTGATCACAGACAATAATTGTCTCCAAAAGGTTTGAAATAGAAGCAGAGATCATTATTGTCTCTTGCCCTCCCCCTGCTTACAACGGTCCTGTTTGTGTTGAACAGGAAGTTGTTACACGTGTTACTGAGTGCTAGGAAAATTCAGACTTTTTGATGGAGCCAAAGGAAATTAACAAAAAAGGCAAAAGTTGTTTTTTTAAATTACAGCTCTGACAACAAAACCAAAATAATCGTAAATCCCGCTCTCCCTGAGTGCTAGGACACAGATCCTGTGCCCTCAGTACTTACTGGCTATGTTCAGGGAGAGCCGCGCTGCGTCAAGCACATGTAACTGGAACAGATATAGGCCATGGCCAGGGGGAGCTGCTGGCAGGCACAGCATGAGACTATTGCAGGTACCATGGCAGTGGTCACACCTCATTTGTGCCCTGAATCATGATGTTACAAGAGGGAAGTCAGAGAAGCCCTTGTGGTGTTGTCTAGTGGCTCTGACTGCGTGAAGATAGGAGTACTTGACCATCTATTTCTAACAGAGCAAAGGCCGTGCACTTACGTTTCCATTTGCCTTTGCTTGGGTATCTGTTCATTTCCCTGCTCCCTTTGCCCCTTCCATTCCCCACCCCCTGCTCCTAGTCAACAGTCTGTTTGTAACCTGGGGCACTGCTCACACAGCATTAGTGCTTTCTGCCTTGCCACAAGGCTTTCTCAGTTCTTTCATTTTCGGTTTTACCTTCCCTAGGGAAGGCTTAGCCTGAGAACCCAGACAAAAAACCTAGGTAACTTCAACTTTCTACAGTGTTCTGCTCTTTCACAAGAGCAGATGAGGGAAGGCTTGTCCAAGCGGAAAAAGCAGCATGTAACACAAGACATAATCTGCTTTCAAAGGAGGAGCTTATGACGTCGCAACATTTCGGAAGCCGAGTGCCTGGAACTGCCTGCTTGGATGTGCCAGAGTGATACACATTAGTCACTGGAGAGAAGTTAGGTAGAGAAACGAGGCCCTCACGTGATTCCACAGTAGACCCAGTAGTCCTCAACACTGAAAGATGAGTACCACTGAGATAGTGGACAGTGATTAGAGATGATAAAGTAAAAAAGGGAGAGCTGCACCTGTTTCTGGGTGACCTGTCTACTTACACTGTTTAGATTCATTACTGGTATCACTAGAAATATTGCAGTTAGCATTACTTTTTAAAAAAATATTTTAAGAAGTATCCAGGGATGCAGTACTTAAAGAAGTTTGAATGTTTCAGATAAGCATTATAGCCTCTGAATTAACATTAGCATTTGAGTAATCAGTTTAAACAGGATCTTCAGAGAACACACTCTCTTCAGACACCCTACTGTTTAAATTCCTGAAGAACCACATTCCCCTCATTTCCCATAATTGGTTTCCTGTTCTTGTTCCCATCACCTTTTAAATACACACCTACCTTTCTAAATTCAAACACTTTGCCCGGATTACATTCTCCACTGGAGTCTCTGACAAAATCCTGAAGTACTCCAGAGCATATTGTTTGCTTCCACAGCAATACATACAGTTTGTGGCATGCAGTCAAGCACTTAAAAAAAGAGGTATCAGTAATATAATCCCAATTCAAGCATTTAGTGGGTACAACTTCATCACTCATACTGCAACCTTCAAGCATTTAGTAATAAATGAAAACCATTTAGCACATCATTTAAGGAAAAGGCTAACTGCCAAGCCGTATAAAGTTTAAAAGTTTTCTGAAGCACTGCAAGCTGAAAAATTATTTCAGTGTTTTACATCGTGGAATTTCAGTGAAGTCAGATTTGTTGGTTATTCTTGCAAATTATTGGTCTTTTACCCCTGACTTATTTCATCTTGGTATATTCTTTATAAATGTGCTGGGTATTGAAAATCTGCAGCATTTTGATGTTTGAAAAGTTCTGAAAAAAGAGTTGGAATTATTCCGACTTCTTGTGTTCTTCAGTGTGGGAGAGTACCTTTCGCCTCTGATGTAGCATATGAAAATACAGCTGAGGAAAGACTGAAGAGGAAACAGACTTAAGTAAATAGGTGATGTTAAGCTACACAGTCACATGCTCAAGGTCACCAATTCTCTATTAAAGAAAACCTGCTTATCTGCTTCCCAATCAAATCACCTATTGCCTTTTATTCTTTAAGGAGAGTAAGTGATATTAATCTTAGCCTTCAGATATTATTTGTTTTTTGCTACAGCAATCACATTTTTAATTAAATGTAAAATGCCTTATTTAACTCTGCATGTACAAGCAGCATGACACAAGATTCCTGAACTGCGCACACACAATAGAAAGAAAACACATTGCACAGAGGAAAAATGTCCTTCTGAAAGAATAAAATTTCCAGATTTGTTAAATTTCTTATAAAGTTCCTTAAATCCTGAAAAAGTGACACTGGAATTTATACGAACTGTTGTCTCTTTCTTTCACCTCTTTATCATCCATGCAACGCTTTTTCTCCTCCTATTTCTACGACTATACTGCACAACAACAAAGAAGGGGATTGAAAACACACACACATAAACAGAAAAAGCTTAAGTAGCCATGAGACACTAAACCTTTGTGAACCACATGAAACTTAAACAGGATCAGCATCAGCCTAATTTACATCAGTTACACATGCAAAGCGTTCATCATAAACACTGGCCAAAGTGTTTAATTTGTTACTTTTTTTTTCCTCAGGTTAACATTTTTTCTTACGGCATTTCTTACCCTGTATTTTTATTTCCTCTTTGTTTCTCCCCTATCCTCATTCACTCCACCAATGTTAAGGAGTGAGTACAGCTGACCAGAGACATAACAGAATACAGATCCACACAGAATGGGGATCCATTATATGTAAAGCATTTAGTGATACCTTTTCTAGCAAGATGTCAATTTTGACAGACAAGTACTAAATTAGAGATTTAAAGTGAGGTAAATGGTAAGATGCAACTATCAAGAACATAAAAAGTAAATTTTTAACAACCGTTCTCAAAGCTTGCTTTCCTTCTGATATTAACATGCCCAAAATTTTCAAGATCTGCAGTGGGTTCAGAAGGTTTAACTCCTGCATTGGCAGCTGTCATGAATGGAACTATGCTGTAATCAGTGACTGCAATGAACACTGCTTCTCTTGTATCTCAGGAATACCACAGGAACACCTTTATGTGAAAAGACACCTATGACTGCTTGAGTCCAAGCAGTTGGTTCTCAGAGTTAATGTACCAATTCACAATGATAGTAACTTAAAAAAACTAAAGAGATTGGATTCAAGTTACACATCCAGCAAATTACAACAGTTCACAGAAAATACCACATTTAAGGGACAGGAATTTTAATGGAGAAAGCAGGCCAAAATTGTTACTGGGGTTCAATATGGGTTCCCTCCCACACAGCCCGTCAGCTGTGATCTAGCTTCCGCACAAGAAGTAATTAATACTTGTGGCTATTTTGACTAAACCAAAGAAATTCTGGCTGCTTGGAGATAGTAACATCACCATGTTTGGAGGAGGGGGACAAGGAGAAGGAAACTCATGAAAAATGTTTTTTTAAGAAGAGCTGGAAAAAACTTATGAACCTTGATGTCAGAATTACAAGATGGTTCACAAAGTACTGGTTATAGAGACGGCCAACTACTGAAACTGAAATCTCTGAATACGGTTTATCATTCTGCACAAACAAGGGTCACATAAAGACAGCTGCACAGATAGCAAGACCATCACTACACTATTCTGCATGTGTTACTGTTTTGTAGGTGTTAGGAGAAAGCAATCCCTGCAGTTTTAACTGTTTTTTCTTAAGATAACTTTCAAAATTAATCTTGAAAAATTAGTTAATATGTATGTTAATCCCACATTAGCTTTTCCTATTAAAGCTTTAAATATTTTTAAAAAGCTAACAAACTCATACTTACCTGGAATATAGGAGATCATAACCAGAATCAGGAATGTATAGTAGTCAAAAGAAAAATTGTACTTGTTAGGTAAACTAATGGAATACAAGCCAGACTGCCTGACGAAGGGTAATGCAGCATATATTGTGAGTAATTCGCCTGTGACTCCCATTGGATACAAAACTATAAACAAAGTGTACCTAGAACAAAACATTTACAGAAATAATTAAAATTTCTCACAAACTTTGGCAAAGCATTTGTTAAATGATATGGCTATTAACATTTCTAATTCTCAACTCGATATGTGGCAGTTAACTTTGAGAATCTGAAAACTATCTTTAGAACTATTCTTCCCCACTCCAGACACACTTTGATCTCTGAACTCCTTGGCAGAGGTCACTATATTACTTAAAATGGGGCCAAACACAATTGATCACTGTTTGGCGGTCAATGTGCTTACGGACTGTTGTATCCAACTACAACCCTTGGATTCAAGGGTTACTGTTAAATGTCAGTTCCTGTCAAACAGAATCACTTTGGAAATGGGACCAAGTTTTGACAAACTGCTCTTTCACCTTATAGTAATAGTTTTGTGTTTTCAAACAGGGCAATTACCGCAAGGTAGAATCTTAGCTATTTGCACCACAACTATTTTACAAGATAAATATCCCTGTCAAATCAATGCTTTTAGGGTATATTTTCTATTATGCCACCTACCTGGCCCATTTGATGAGATAAGGGAGATGATTTAACAAGCTAAATGTATAAAAAGAGTAACGGATTATCTCTGTGATTGTCCAGGCCACCACAAACAACAGGACACTATCTTCAGTTTGTACCTGTAAGAAGGAAAAAAAGTTCTGTATGAATTCACATGTTACTAATTACTCCCCAGACACAAGAAAACCTCAAATAAACTCCAATGGGTTGCTTTATTGCATCATTTTCAAGAACAGGCTCCAAGAATAAGCTTAAAAGCAACATTAGTAACAACAGTAAAAACCCTTCTTATCATGCTCCGTATTTTTCTAGTTGCTTAATATCATCTCTGTTTGGTGATTAGGTAACCTAAGATCTCCCATTCGATGCACAGTTCATCAGTCCAAGAAATCCCTGAAATACTCAGAAAAAACCTCTAACTCTGGAAAGTACCAGCTTCTATTTCAGTCCCATGATTCCTTCCTAGTTTGGCAAGCAGAAAGGATGCTAACACATTAGTCTAACACTTGATATCTGGGTTAGACTTTATATTCTTATCCTACTCTGTGCTACTTCTGAGTAGAAGCACTGTTTTCCTCTCTCTGCAGATGAGAAACTGCATCTGAATTCTGAGTAACAGCTAAACAGCTAACACCGGAACATAGACTGGGAGGAGAGAAGAAACAGAAGCTCAGATTGCCTCACCTCAGGTAAGCTTGACAACTACCTGCTTCACTGTTGGTTCCTCCTTTTTCTGCTTATTGTATCCAGCATCGTTCCTCTAATGTTACATTCAAGGCATTACTACATTTCAGTGCTTTACACATCTCAGAGCTTTTCTTTCAGACATATACCACTGAGCCAACTTTTACTCCCCTCATATTTTGAGGGTTAATCTTCCAAAGCATGTATTTTAAAATTAATTATTAGATCTATTAGATTTGGGACTATAATTAAGAGGTTTAAGTTTCAGATGGAATAACATCGATGAAGTACGTAACGTCACATACCCACACTACAAACCCTTGAGAGTGTGCAAACATGACTTCTCTACAGCCCTCTCCCTCCTTCCCTCCCCTTCAACTGAATTCTCAGCTGTAGAAGTACCTCAGGCCCAAAGTCAGTGACCATGGGAACAAAGAGCTCAGCCACAGGGGCCTGCATTTACTTTTTTCCTCTATCTCTTGAAAAAGGGGAAAAGGAAGTTAGTAGATTTAAAGTGGTACACTCTATTCATCCTGGGCAAAGTACAGGTACAAACAAAAAAAGGAATAAGAAAATATATGTGTAATCAGAAGCCTTTTAATAGGAGAGGACTGATCATATACCTGTGTGTGAAAACACTCATGAGGATTACCCATAAGAATCTGTTACAGATGACAAAACCCAGGAAGATGTATACAGAAATACTGGTACAGCCTGGGATGTAGAGCTGCTGTTAATCTATACTCTGCTGCATATAGCATCTCAAGTTACTTGCATTGCATTTTGCAGCAAAGGCACCTTGTCCTTTTTCTACATTAAATTCTGATACTTTGCTTATATATTAATCTCCCTTACATCATCATAAAAAAAACAAAATACAAAACTTCTTGGGAGATTCTCAGAGAAGAGACCAAATCTATTTTTACATTGCTACAGGATCCTAATCTTGTTTGGGGTCTGCTTGATAAGCAAGACTTAGTTCTCATCCTAGAAAATGTAGCAGCAATTCACAGATGATGCAGTTCCCAAGGAGCAACATGCTTCACGAGCACTCCAGACCTGCATCTTCTGGTCAAATCAGGAATAGCAGCTTAGTGAGTTTATCTAAATATATGCATGTCAGATTTCAACCTGTACTTTGAAAGCCCACTTCTTTCTTTGGAGTCAGTAAAACCAACAAACAAAAATCTGTAGCTTGAAGTATCATCCAAGGACAAGAAACTGTGATGCTAACAGTGAATGATACACATAGGCGTAGAAAATCTGGCAGTTACAATCCAGTTCTATCACAGGACTTCCGTAACACTGCCTTCTAAGGTCTAGTCTTTCGCATCTATTTTAATACTAGAACTGTGTTTAGAAGTTATTAAAACAGTTCACGCAATTATAACACAAACAACCCCGTTAAGGTGACCTGAAGAATCACTGATTGTGCCTATACAGCTTGTATCCCTATTTGAGGAAGAAAGAATAGTGGAAATTGGTGGTAGTTTTCATACAAAAGTGACCTATACAGTTTTCAACTAGTTCCATTCTGTGCAGCAAGGAACAGAAGAGTACTATGCATTTCATCACCGTATTTTAACTACATTCCACAACTCATCATTGAGAAGTATGTTTCTTAACAGATCTGCCAGAAGTCTGTCACTATTAGAACATCTCTTTGAGGACTGACAAATTTTCACTACTTCAAATGAAGATGTCTGAGATGCACACTATCAAACCCCTAGGAACTGATCTACCAAAGTCTCTCAAGTCTTCAGGCACTGCTAATGCTGCTTTTGTATCATTCTTCTTCCAAGTTGAGGATAAGGAGGATAGTGCAGCCAATAAACAGTAGACCCTTAATAAACCACTAAGCCCAATGCTGCCCTCAGAACAAAATTTCTCTACCTCCTTTGAAGACTGGCATAAAAAAGTAGAGGAGTTAGACAAAGTCAAAGCACATTTTACACTTTATTTACAACTTACTTGTCCAGCTGCCTTAATAAGGGTCAGTCACACCACAAAATTCTTTGGCATGTGTTTCAAACCAATTTATCGTCCAAGAGGGTCCTGAACATAATTTAGCTGATCTTCAATACTACAACGTGTGTTAAAATATAAGAGAATCTATAGCCTTTTAAGATACAAAGCTAAGAACTGGGAACTGACAAAATAAACCGAGAGGTTTTTACTGTTCTCCTTACCAGTTCACGCAATTATAACACAAACAGTTTTCTCTGACAAAATAAACTGAGAACTGAGAGGTTTTTACTGTTCTCCTTATGCATGAAAAGGGAAATTCTATAGGT